TGGCGGTATTGTTCGTCGACGACGTTGAAGCATGTTGTTGCAGTCTCGCGACCAGCGTATTTCGACGACCATGGTCAGATAAACCTTTTTCTAGACATTGTTGTCGAAGATCGTTTACCGATGGCTGATTTGCATTCTCTGCGCGTTGTTGTACAGCTGTGCGTTGGCGTCGGGCGGGAGGCATTGCCTCGTGAGAGATATATTACAAATTTAAGCAATTTTTTCGCTGTGAAGTGTCCTTCACTTTGGCTCACTGGCAACACAATGAAGCCTGTAGCCCAGGCAGGAAGCATAAGCAAACAAAACAGTTGGACCTGATTGGTCTATTTTCCCACATGCATGGGAAGAAGTGTTTGACAGTGGTTCATTGTTATTTACCGAGTGCTTTGCACGTGAGTGATCACGCGTTTTAAGACTGACCTTTGTGCCTAACCTGGTCAAATCAAAGGACTTTGCACAACTTTTATGTTGACAAATGGCTTAAAATATCCTCGAAAATATCCAATATTTTATACAGTGTAATATATTAATAAAAAAATTCCAGAGTGCATTCCATGTAAACTCTACGCCGAAGATATGGCAATATTAACTATATAGATAGTATAGTATAAAATATTTGCCGAACTGGCGAACTCATGTACTTGGTATTTAAATATATGTGGTATTTGACTACTTACCAGATGAGGATAAGATTCCATGTTGATAAATAACTTCCATGTTGATGAATAATATCGCAAGTAGAATGGCGAGAAAACAAGACAGCCAATTCAAGATAAATTGATAAAAATATCAAGATATTTTTGAAAGAATACAAACACGATTTATACACGAGGCCTGACGAGGCTAAAGTATGCCCGTTAGCAGGTTTAATAGATGCGGGCAAGATGTAAACAATTGATGTAAACTAATCGCTGATTGGCTTAAATTGGCTTAAATTATATAAGCTCGTCGCTGAATGGCTATGTGTTAACATACGGTACGGTACGGTCACGGCACGTTTGAGATAGCATATATATCTGCTTCGCAGATACAAAAATCATGCAGCATACAATCGAGAAAAATAAATATCATGCAAAAGAGAGCGGTCAAAAAAAAATTCCTACATGTAAATCTACTGACGTTCTTCACTTCAGTATTGTGTCCACAGGCTTGCAAGATTTTGCATTTTTGAGCAGGCACATTTTGCTTAAAAGAACACGGGGTGAACAGTGGACAACATCACAGGGATTTTCCCTTGTTTAAAATAAAGGACAGTAAGTGTTCCTTAGGCTAATTGGTACAGCAAAGTTGTTGCACGAATGCATGGCTGAAAACGCAGGAAATAACATTTCTGAGGTTCAAATTTTAAAATTTTCTCGGGGGAGTATGCCCCCGAACCCCCAAGGTTACAAGTCATTCATACCGAGTACTCTACTCTATCCCTGCATGTTTTAGGTTTTGGTGCAGTTATAAATTTTTTGTAAGTAAACCTGCACGCTTTAGTGTGGGGAACATTAAGACATAACCATATAAAATAAAGCACAGTGAAAATTCCTTGGCCCCTCTTGGGATTCAGTTCTCGGCCTCTTCTGACTGAAAACCCCGGCTACGTCTCTGACAATAGCTATATGAACGCCTTAACAGTACTGTAAGCCGTTATTATGAAAGGCAAAAAAAATATCCTGCCGCCAAATATATTGGGAAAAAATATCTTGCGCTGCATTTTTACAGGAAAAAATATCTGTCTTGTTCCCCTGGGCGGAAAAAAAATTCTTGCACAGTCTGAATCTTCCAACTCCCCCCTCAAAAATCAAATGGTTCGCCCTTTACTTTCATTGTATTTTTAGGTGTTTATTAAATGTGTCAATCATCGTCGTTAATTATTGCAAAATGCAAAGTGGGCGGAAGGGGATTTTGCCAACATTTTCATCAGACCTACATTTCGCCCTTTCCGTCGACCCGCGAATTTTAGGGCGGGCGAAACGTAGGTCTGTTTTCAGGCTAGTGGACCGGGGATTGCATTCATTTACATGAAACCAGAGTAGCGAAACCAGCGTAGGGAGACCCGAGTAGTGAGCAAAAACATGCGGGCACCACGGAGTTATCAGTCATTGTACAGTACTATCAAGACACACGGACGGACGGACAGACAGACAGACAAATAAACACATTCAGTGGCATTAAATCTAATAAAACATTCTACTGTCTACATAAACATCTAAACTATTATGTACATAAATGTGACAAAAAGACACAATGTCATTTCATGATTCTTTAATGTAGTATGTATCGCGGTACACTTTGGTGAAGACCCTGGGAACGAGACTACTGTACACTTACTTATGTGTATGAGATGGATCACAACGCTCCAAAGGAATGGCAGTACTGTTCTTATAATGGTGTCTCTCTTTGATAAACAACACAAGAACAGTCACAGTATAACAGAGTGATATAACCAACAGGACCATATTTGTGATTCCGTTTCTTTCACTAAAGCAGAGTAAATAGTCATTGTACTGTATATTCAAAGTTTGTTTCAGTTTATATGGCGGTGTACTGCAGTCCATAGGTGAGAAAAATACTTGTGGGCACTGGCATAGCCAGCCAGACAATTTGGTCATGCATGCTATGCAAATTTAAAATCATCATTATTCATTTCTTTAGAAATTGATTGCTTTCACGGTTTAAAAACACGGAAAGATTTGCATAGCATGACCAAATTGTCGGGCTGGCCACACCACTGCTTGTGGGCCATAGAATGTGTAATGTTGAATTGAATTTAGTTTTACAGTTGATCACTTTACACTTGTAATATGTTTTTCTTGTATCTATTTATACACACGATTAGCATAATTACATAGGTGATTATTGAAAATTCTCCACCATGATTGGTTGCCGTTGAGGTGATTATTTATTAGATAATCACCTAAGCGATTTTCAAAATGGCGGCCGAAACCGTTTTGTCAATTAAATGACGAAGAAATGAGTATTTTTAATTTTTTTCCAAATAATCACCTACAGTGCATTTTTTAAGGATTCTTCAGTGGTGGGGCAAAACTCCCAAAGGGCCCATTTTCCTTGCCCCTCTCCCAGCATAGTATGCGATCGCCGAATGTGTGAGCAGAGTACCGCAGGCACGAGTTAGCTAGGGAGGGGGGGTTGAAGCTCCCCCTCCCCCAGGAAATTTTTAAAATTCGGGTCTCTGAAATAGCATTTCCTGCTTTCTGAGAACACATTTAAAAAAAATCTCAGCTTCTCAAAACAAAGTTTTAATGGTGAAATTTGTAATAAATTGCATGCTCAACATTCAAACAGTATGCTCACCAACAAATTTTGTTTTTTAAACTTCTTTTCAATGTTAAACTCATTTACTCAATACAGGTCCTAGGGGGCTTTGGGGCAATAGGCCATTTTGTTTCTTCAGTGGTGGGGCAGAGGAAGCGGCCCAGTGGGGCAAATGCCCCACCATGCAGTTCATGGTATTAAAAAAATGCCTTGATCACTTATGAAATTATACTAAAACAATTATTCACCTCAAGCTCGGTGATTATCGTGAATAAAAACCTCGACCTCGCCTCGGTTTTTATTCACCGATAATCACCTCGCCTTCGGCGAATAATTGTTAATTATTGCTCTTTACACCTTTTTTTCATGTGGTTAAACGTATAGACGTATTAAGCAGGTCCGCCGAGAGGGGGGCAGGAGGGGGAGGAAATTGCCCCGGGCCCCGAGGTCCTGGCCTTCTGGGGGCCCCTAGAAATTCTCTGTTGGGTCCCAATCATTTATTTGCGCGAAATATTTCCGTTTTGGGTCGAAATATTTGGGGTTTTTCGAGCAAAGAACCGAAATTTGGTATCAAAATTTGCGGGAAATTCCCACAAAAGCATTTACAACGTACTCGTCCGAAAACATTTTTTCCCTAAAAAGTTGGGGAACCTAAGAAAAATTTGCCCCAGGCCCCCGCCAAGCTCTCGGCGGCCCTGGACGTAAGTTAGCGGCAGATGTATCATGCCTGGCAGGAATTATATGAGGGAAGTCTATGACGTCACGGAATATGACGGGTACTTTGCGTGTGTCTTCATTCTGCAAGGCTATGCTATACATTTTGTTGTTTTGCCACTGCTATTTGCCAGTTTTTCCATAACTATTTGCCAGTTTTTTATTAGACTGTTTACTAATTTGCTGTTGCGGTTTTGCCTGCAAAGCTAGATTGCCTACTAAGCTTGATCACCAGCGGCACCAACCTCCACACTCAGATACTCTGCCCTTGAATTTATTCAGATCTTAGATTCCTCCACGTGAATTTTTCTGGTATTCGTCTTATCTTATGTTATTGTTGCGAGTCATCACTAAGGCGGAAATCTCAATAACAAAAATTACGCGACATAAACAAGTTGTTATACCTTTCAACAACTATTTCTTTGAAAGTGCTTGGGTTTAGCAAGTTTTTTGCTACACCAATATAACTGCAATCTGAATCTTGGAGTTTGCCACAACTTTAAAGAAAATGAGAAAGAAAGGATTAATTGTTAGTTAAACGTAAAGACAGGACACTGCATGGTTTTTAAGATCATTAAAACGCAAAAGAAACAACAATCAGGAAACAATCTCAATATTGAGGCCCTGTCAAACGAAAATAACAGTTGATGAGAGTTGGCAGTCAATCATTGTTAGGAGGAAAGGGGGCATTTTAAGCTCTAGATTACCAAAATGGAGGTTTCATGAATGTTCCAACTATTATATGCACTCTCATCTTCGTTTGATCCAGGCTTTACGCTAATCCTTAACCTGAACATAATAATACTGTTGAATTAGTTGATATTACGTCATGCATTCTGATTCGAACGTTTGGTGTATCCATTTTAGTGCCTCGTGTAATTGTTCGTTGCAGTTCTTGTTCAAGTTGTATCTCGATATATTTTACTCATTAAATGTTCATATTTTATCACAAAAATGTGACTGTTCGAATAAATATTCAAATCCAATAGGTTATGGGCCCAGTGGCTGAAGTATTCGAAGTTTTTAATGGAGATATTGCGATAAATTTAATCGTTAAATCGTATTTTGAAACTGGTATGGAAGCATGACAATATAAATATGGCGGAATCGAAAACTGTTACGGTTGTACCGTTGAATGGGTCGAACTATGGGACTTGGAAAGTCCAGTGTCGCATGGCTCTCGTGAAAGACGGGCTGTGGAGCATTGTTTCTGGAACTGAAACTGCTCCTGCTTCGACAGAAGCTGAAAAATATGCGAAGTTTGTTAGTCGTAGAGATAAAGCACTGGCGATTATCGTGCTTTCGGTACATCCTTCGCTGTTATATTTGCTCGGAGATCCTGAAGACCCTGTAGCCGTATGGAAGAAATTATCAGACCAGTTTCAGAAGAAATCATGGGCAAACAAACTGTCTTTAAGACGACGTTTAAATAATTTGAGGCTGAAAGAAGGGAATTCTATGTCAAGTCATATAAAAGCGATGACTGAGGTTTTCAATGACTTGGCTGTAATAGGTGCGCCAATGGAAGATGAAGACAAGGTTGTAAACTTGCTGGCAAGTCTCCCTGAAACCTATAATATGCTTGTAACTGCCCTCGAAGCGAGTTCTGAAGTCCCACAAATGGAACTTGTAACTGAACGTTTGCTTTATGAAGAAACAAAGCTGAATGAGCGAGAAAAGTCCCCCAAAGCCTCGGGTAAAGTTATGGCGGCCTCGAGGACTGATAGGAAATCAATTAAATGTCATCACTGTGGAAAGTTTGGACATATAAGACGTTTTTGTAAAGATTTGAACAAAGACAAAATCGCAAAGGAGTCTAAATCACCTTTAAACAAGGGACAACAAGCTGGAAAGGGGCAGTCAGGTTCTCGTAGTGAAAGTTTAGGATTTGTTGCACAAAGTTTGGCAGCAAATACATGTGGAACTAACAGTGAAACATGGATTGTTGACTCTGGTGCAACATGCCACATGTGTAACAACAAAGCTTTGCTTGAAGACTTTGTTGAATTCAATGAGCCTGTTGATGTAATGCTTGGTGATGGAAAAGTTCTGAATGCTGTTGGAAGTGGCATTGTTACAGTATGTACTAATCTTGTGAATGGAAAGCAGCAAGAGTGTAAACTACATAATGTACTTTTTGTTCCGAAACTGAGCTATAATCTACTAAGCGTATCGAAAGTGACTGAAGCTGGTAAATCTGTTAGTTTTGAAGAAACAAAATGCAATATTTCATGTAGTGACGGGGAAATTATTGCAATTGCAAAGAAAGTTGGATGTTTGTACTATTTGGATTTTCAACCTATCTTAGAATGTTCAAATGCTGTATCAAATGAAGGAACTGAACTCTCAAATGAAATGTTATGGCATCAACGTTATGGACACTTGGGAGTCCAAGGTTTAAAGCGATTAGCAAATGAAGATTTAGTTGAAGGTTTCAACTTTGATACAAAGAAAGATTTGGAGTTCTGTGATGCATGTGTACAAGGAAAGTTACACCGGTGTTCGTTTCCTAATAGTGGTGCAAAGAGAGCTAGTGAACCACTAGGCTTAGTGCATAGTGATGTGTGTGGAAAGATAAACACTAAGTCATGCGGTGGTGCTGAATACTTTCTAACATTCACAGATGACAAAACTCGCTATGCCTGGGTGTATCCATTGAAGCAAAAGAGCGAAGTGTTCAGTCGGTTCTTGGAGTGGAAAGCTGTTGCTGAGAAGTCAAGTAGACATAAGCTAAAAACTCTAAGAACTGATAATGGTGGTGAATTTACTTCAAATGAATTTGAGAACTATTT